AAACCAGTTTTCAGTCATTATTTCATTTATCACATGCCTGATTTTCAGGACGAAGCAGAGCAGAGCCCTGGGCCAGGAGCAGCTGTGTTGAGATGCAGAACTGTGTGCAAATAGGAAAGGGAGGAAGCTTTTCTGTAGTGGGGTGGGGAACTGGAGAAATGCCTGGAGGAGCTTTCCCCTTCTAGTCCAGGTGGTTCCAGGGTGAGGGGAGGGCCTCTGCAGTCTGTCGTGCCTGGACAAACTGCATGGGAAGGGCTCTTTTCTCCCTCTGTCCTGCTCAAGTTTTGCATTTTTAGCTCTGGGGGCAGGAGGTGTGTGTTCAGCCTCCCAAAACCGGCCTTCAATATTACTTCAAGGTGTTCTTTTTACTTTTATTTTAGAATAAACATTCTTTGTGTCTGCAGAGATTCTCCACCAGCACAGGGTCTAGAGGTAAATAGCCAGAACTCTCCAGAGCAGCAGGCAGAGAGGTGAGATTCTTTTGCACTTCACCGAGCTGGGGCTTTAAAAAGAAAAACATGAAATGTGGTGGGAGGCAAAAGAGAGCCCTGCAAAAATGGCACCACTAGGACCAGCACTAATCAGAGCAGCATTTAGTGCACTACAAACATCACAAAAATGGGAATTCTTCTGCAGAAGGAAGGTGTAATGCTTCATGTCATTTCATCTGCAGTCAAGTTTCCGCTGTGCTTTCTCTGTTTCAATCAAATTTTTCCTTGTTTGCCAAATGTTTGTTCTCTGCTGACGTTTCACTGAAACTCTGGAATGTTATTAAGGCTCTTGGATGCAGCCTCTCGTTTATACTTGAAGAAAGCAGTTTGTTACAAAGTGTAGAGTTAAGGGGGGGATTGTTGACTCACCCAGCAGACTCTGCTGTGTGTCGTGCAGGGATATGGAGCCAATTATTGTTTTATCTGTTGGAGGTTTTACCCCAGCACCCGCAGCCCCCTTGGCAGTAACCTGCTCCCTCCCTTGTTTCCCTGCTGCTCACTATGGTTCAACCTGCTGTTGTCCCCGAGGTTATAGTTGCATTTCCAGGGCATAAACCCTTGGTTATTTGCATAATGACTTAAGTATTTTACTGTTTCTGGGATGATTTTTTAGTATAAAAACTACTTTTTCAGGAGAGGTGACTTTTTTTGTTATATTTGTGTATTATAAAGTAGTTGCTCATGTGTGTATAAAAATAGAGATAATTCATGTGTATTTTATAATCATATCTCTGCTACATCTCTGCTCAGAAGAATAGAAAAAGATTTTGGGAGACTATACTTGTTTAATCATGTTTAACTGTACTCCTAGCTGTTTGTGTTGTAGCATCAGTTTCTCCCAGCCTGAAAGTGTTGGGGCTGAACAGGATGTGAGGGGCTTGGGCAGGTGACAGGGAGAGTGAGAAGCAGCAGATATTTCACTGCTTCTGCCAATACTGCAGAAGGGTTGTAGCCACTGAAAGGAGGTACCAAAAACTGGTGCTATTCTTTCCAGAAGGGCAGCAGGGACAAAGGGGTGGGGGGCTATTTTTTAATAATAAACTGTATTCCATGCAGATAATCCATAGTCAATACATTGCATTAAAAGACAATTGAAGTGCCTTTAGTCCCCCAAGTAGCCTGACTGTGCTGTAAATTCAAGTATGTGGGAAATAGGCCTTTAGTTCTTAACAGAATGTCTTTTGATCTGGGCTCTGCACCCACTGGGGTTGTCCCCCAGCAGCCCCAGCCTCATGCAGGGCTCAGACACACCCCGTGCTGTGTTTTCCCACCTCCTGAGAGCAGTGGAGGGTCAAGGAGCAGATCCATGATGGCATTTTTGTCTTGCCTTCCACCCCACTGACATTCTCAGCAGTTGCCACATCGTGCTAGGGCAGAGAGCTTGGAAAGACAAAGAAGCTGTTTGGATTTTGCATCCTCTTTTACCCAGCTGGGCACAGGTCACAGCCCAGCCTGGTCACAACTCCACACACACGAGGACATGGCTTTGAAGCAAGTGCCAGTGTTGGGCTCCTCAGAATCCAAAGGAAAACCCAGGGAGGTGGCCACAGAAGCCACATGATTAAAAGCAAAATGTAGCTCTTTGTAGATCAGTTGCCATCAGCACAGCCTTGCTCCAGCACTCTAGCCTCCCAGGATTAACCAGCATCTTGGAGTCAGAGTCCCCCAGACAGGGAAGGAGCCTTCAGCCCAAGTGACTTGGTGCACCCAGCACTTAACTGGTACACAGACTCTCCAGCATTAGAGCAGTACTTTGTGATGGTAAAGACATTTTTCTCTTCCAGGCATCAGCAACATGACCCTTGGGTTTCCTGCAATTTCAGGGAAACCCTCTTCTCTCCAAGTACCAAGCCATGTGCCAAGAATATTCAGACAGGATTGCTGCCTCAGGAGCTGCCCAGGTGGGAACTCCAAGTGCCCTGAGCCAGACCTCATGTCAAAAGGTAGGACAGAACAACTACATTTTTTTCTCTTCCTTGAAACACCAGCACCTTGCTGCTCCAGGCTGGGTCATGGCAGAGCCTGGTGGAATCCAGACCTTCCCCTGAACAGTAACTTCTCCATCTACTCCACCACAAGGTCTTAGAGGTGATGAAGTGGAGCTGTTGATGCTCTACCTGACAGTTCCCCAAACCACATTCGTCAGTAGAACAGACATCACAGAACACACAAGAGCCTGGTTTGGTTTTTTCTTTCCTTGAAGGAAAAAAAAGCTTTTTCTTTTTTTTTCACTCCAGGCACTTAGAACTGGCATCCCCCACCCTGAGGAACTGGTATTTTATGCATCTCAGCCATTTCTGTGCACTTGGATGTTCTTCTCCTCCTCCTGAGTATTACTGAACATTTCTAGGGGGTGTCAGGAAGAGGAGTACCCAACATCTTGCTGTGACTGTGTGTGTAGATTCAGAAAACCAGTAAAACCCAAAGCCATTATTTGAGAGGAGATCAATCCAGAGAAAATTCCTTACCAGCTCATAACCATGTCAAAGGAGCAAAAAAACCCTAGATGACAGGATCTCTTTGAATTCTTTCTACTTCAGAGAAACAGGGGGGAACAAAACCCAACCTTTTCCAGTTGAAAGCTTTATTTGGGAATAAAATTTATCTGTAAAATGTGTCTAAAGAGAGACTGGACCATAACAACTTGGCATGACTCAGTCTGCCTGACCCTGCTGCAGCATCTTGGTGCCTTTATGCCATCACAAGACGCAGGCAACGTATGAGGAAGTATAATCTGGGGTCTAAATGCCACAAAGCATCCATCTGTATCTTTAATGGCTATATAAATTCAGCAGATGAGAAGGAAAACATTAATTAGACAGACCCTGCCTTTGGCAGTAATCACCCCCAGTGACAGCTGAACCAGCCAGTGGGTAAAATATGTACCAAAGATGATTATCAGAATAAATAACTGAGGAGCCAGAGAAAATTAAAAAAGGGGGGAAAAGCCCCATAAAACCCACCTTTTTCTTTTTTTTTGTTTTGGTGGGGTAAAGAAAACTTAACCCTATGCTGGAGTTTGGATTCTCTCTTTTTTTTCAGACAAGATTTGCTCAGTTTAGGGTCCAATCCTGCAGCTGGTGTCTGGGGAAGTAGGGTGCAGATTTCTGCAGATTAGTTTGAATTCTGATTGCACAGGAGGAGTAAAAAAAAAACAACAAAACCCTGAGAGGTCTTATGTCAAAGCCCTTTGTGAGGGTCAGATTCTGGAATCACCACATTCCATCCAAAGCCAGAGCAGGGGCCACCACAGACATAGTCATAAAATAATAGACAAAAAATTCCACTGATTTGAATCTGCTCTAAAAACAATGATGTTAACAAGGGGATTTTCACATTTGTCCAGGGTGCCAAGGCACATCTGCCTTCACACCTTAGGCTGGGAAAGGCCCAGGGATCAGCTTGGATTTGTGTCAGGATTTAGCCTGTGGGAGGACACTGCTCTCACTGGTGCCCCCAGCCCCTGCCATCCAAACCATCTCTGTTCCTGCTGGATTAGTGGCCAGGCCCTGAGGATGTATTTTGGAGGAATCTAAGATAAAAATGTTCTTAGACTCTGTCTCCTTTAAAGAAAGGATCATAATTAGTAATTTAGCAAACTAATTAGATGCCAAAAAGTGCATGGAAGCCCTTGGCTCACCCACATCCTGAAGGTGAAGCCTCCACAGGGTTTTTGCCCTTCAAATAGCTCAGGTGTCCCTTTCTCTGGAGCAGGGCTAGGAGCTGTTGCCTGGAAAGGAGAGGAGGGCAGGGAGCTGAAGCTGTGGTGGTGGAACCAGCTGCAGGATGAAAGGACAAGGGCTCAAGGCTTCTCAGCCAGGAAGACAAAATTAAGTGTTACATATTCCAAAAGAAGGTGAAGGGAAGGGCAGGGGAAGGGACAGAGATGGGGGAGAAGGGACAGGGGAACCCTGGAGAGCCAACCTTCCCTCCCCTGGGCCAGCACCTGCCCCAACCACCCAGCTCTGGGGCAGGGCCAACCAGCCTGACTTCCCTGAGGGCAGAACTGGAACGTGCAGCAAAAAGCACAGAACCACAGAATCCATCCTGCTGCCCCCAGGGACCTGAGGCAAACTCTGGTTTGCCCACACTTGGGTTCCCCCTTTGCTGCCCCTGGGGAGGCTTCTGCTGGGGTGGGGAGGTGTGGGTGGGCAGTGACCCACACTCGGGGGGGTAAAAACCCAAGCACAGAACAACAAAAACCCCCCTTCAAACCACATCTGGGCCTGCACTTTGTTCTGCTGCCACATCCAGGGCTTTGGTGCTGGGCTGTAGGCAGAGTCCAATGTCCCAACTGCTGCTGTTCCCGTGAGGAACCCAGGCAGCTCCAGCCCCAAATTCACCACTTCCCACTCTTTTCCAACCCTCCATCGGGTCTTTTTGTTTGTTTTTTTTTTCCTTCTACTTGCTCTTTCTTTTCCAGGAGGGGAAAGACTTTGCAATAGAATAACAGAAGACTCCACCAACGCTTGAAGACAGGGGAGGGTGGAGGGGCAGGGGAAGAAGTGCTCAGCACTGCTCTGCCTCCACAAAGCCCTCCTTCTCCTGGCTGCCTGGCTCCACCTCCGAGTAGCTGCTGTGGTTGGTGTGATTCCGGAACTTCATGGCAGGGCAGGGATGGGGCCTTCTCTGTGGACAGAAACAAAGACCCATCAGAAGCTGGGACAGGGACCTTCACATCACGCCTGCAGGGAGACTGGGGTCTCAGTCCCAAGAGAAAAACAATGTTGCCTTTGTGGAAGGTCGACTTTTTCTTAATAAAAACACAGTTTTAAGAGTTCACTGCAGTGCGTTGGTCCCCCTGAGCTGACCTACTAATGGAGGGTGAGATGGGGAGCAGGGAGGAAATGGAAATTCTAAGTGAAATTTCCAATCAGCCTCAGGACAAGGGTGGCCTGTGCAGCTGGGGGTGGCCACAGGCATCCTGTGAAACCACAGACACATCAGCTCTGTGTCTTCTCTGCACTTGCAGCACAAGGACAACTCCTGCCCCTCCCCAGCAAACAGACACATCAGAGCTCAGGGACTGACCTGGTGGAGCCCACGTAGCTCCAAGTCCTGTCTCTGCAGCCAGGAGAGATGGAGGGAAGTGCTCAAGGAGCAGCCAGGGAATGCTCAGGGCAGGCTGAGGGTGGAGAGCTGCTCACTCCCTCCACAGCAGCTCCTGTGCCAGGGTCCAACCCACTTCCCACTGCCTCGGGATCCTGCCCCCAGCAACCCTCAGGCTTCTAACAGCAGATGGAGATTGTTGGACCCCCTGTCTTTGGGAGAATTAAATTCTTCCATGTAGAGCTTTCCCACCCCCTCTCCTGCAGCAGCTGATGGCGTGACATCTATCAGTCTGACAATTTTAGTCAACAAAACCCAGCTGGGCAATTCCAAAGGCAGGGATCTAGAGTGTGTCACAGCTCCAGCTGAGCCCTTGGACCAGGCTGCTCATGCAAGAAGGTGGGAGAGTCTTAACATTGCATGGGGGGGGAAAAAGGCACCGTGTGAAAAGGAGCAAAATAAACCAGTGTGGGAGGGAGAGAGAGCTCAAGTTTAAAACATCATCAGCTGGAGGTTGGGAGATGAGCTGTGACTGCAGGACCATGACAAGGAACTCAGATGAACTCTGTCAAGGTTCCTCTCACCTCTTCTCTTCCCTGGAAGGTCAGGATTGGTGTTGATGGCAGAGGAAGATAAATCTGGCCAGAGAGAAGGTTCCCCACTCACCTCAATGAAGAAGAGGGCAGCGTGGGAGGTGGGGTGGCTGCTGATGTAAATTCCAGCCAGGATGATCACTGCGATGAGCAGCACGGCCAGCACGATCCCCACGATGGTCCCGGTGTGAATCGGGGTGCTGGCCTTCCTGGAGGGAAGGCTGCTGGGGACCCCTGCAGAGGAGGAGCCAGCTGAGCCCCAGGCTGTGCTGAGAGCTCAGTAAAAGGACAGGGGAAGGGGAAAGAAAAGCGAGACCTCCCAGAGCTCTGCAGGTGTGGGGGGAGCAGCCCAGCCTGCTGCCCTGGGGCTCAGCCAGAGGGGAGGAGGCACCAGAGCTGCTGGGTGAGCTCCAGCAGCAGGTGACAGCAGGGGCTGCTTTGAAAGATCCCCCCCCTCCAATCCATATTCTAAATATCTTGGCTGCTCACCCCACAGAGCCACCAGCCAGGCGCTGAGTGGGGTCCTCAGCGTGTCCCCCCAGCCCTGCCTCCTCAGCTGGGACTCTGCAAGGGCACAGGGGTGCAGGGGGTGGGTGGCACAGGTTAACAGGGACATCACCAGCCACCTGAGGAACAAGTTGGAAGCTCTTGCACTTCAAAAGGCCCCATGTCTGCAAAGGCACTGATCCTGCACCCAGTTGAGCCAGTTTAACATCCCCGAGCTGCTTTGAGGTAAGAGGGATGGGCTCCTGGTTTGCATCCAACCACAGTTCTTGCAGCCCTGACATCAGGCTCAGAGGGCTCAGATCCTTCCCGTGCTCTGCAATTAGAGCTTTACAGCAACAGTTCAGTTCCCTGCCCTTGTGGCTGCTGAACTGACCTGGAGTGATAAAAGCTTCATAGGAACAGAGATGAAAAAGGCAGAGCTGGGCTAAGGACACAATATTTGGATTTCACACTGTTTGGCACAGCTGGGGAAATTCAAAAGAAAAAAAAAAAAAAGACTTTGTGTCTATGTGAAAAACTGCAAAAAAGGGAATTACATAGAAAGAGAAAACTCCTCATCTTGATTTGCACAGCAGGACTGAGTGGGAAAAGGGGAGAAACAGCAGAAGGGTAAAAGAGACTGACTCTCACTTGTCACTGCCTGGCATGGTATCACCAGGGGAAGGACAAGGTGTTATCTTGATCACATCCCTCCAGCCTGTCCTGCCCACCCAGCACAGCTCCCTGGGGTGTTGGATTTCAAGAATGTTTTCACTTGGAAGGGCTGTGGGCAGGAGGGAGGGGATGAAGGACCTACCTTCACTCCCTGCAGACTGAGTGAGCTTCGTGTCATCTGAAAAACAACAACAAAAAGGAACCAAGTTAGGAGCCTTCTAGAATATTCCACATGCTTCCCACCTGCTGTCCTGCCAGGACACAGCTCTTTGCCAGGGACAGTTCTGAGTTTGATGGGAGGGGAAGGAACCCAGGAAACAAGCAGTGAAAGGAGGTGGCTCATGGTTTGTTGTTTTCCTTCACAGAGGTGACACCTGGAGCACCAACACCTGAGGACAGTGACCCCTGTGCTCACTCTGGAAGCCCCCAGGGTGGCACTTCCAGCTGCTGGCACAGGCCCAGAGCCCCCATGGCTGCAGGTGTCTTCCAAGGGGGCTCAAACTCCAGCTCTGTTCTTCATCAAGCTCTGGAAGTACCAGCAGGTTTTGTAGAAGGCTTCCTGGGCTTGGTGGCCTCCACATCCCCAGCCTCACAATCCCAGCTGGAATCCTGATCCTCCTGCCTGGCTCACCCTGACACAGCAGCAGCCAGTGGGGCTGGCCCGGCTGGGGAGGCTGCAGAGGGGTGGGTCCCCCCCGGTGGGTCCCCCCCTTTTTTCCTTGTTCCTTTCCTGTGCTGCTCCAGATGAAGTTCCCTGCCTGCCCCAGCTGTTTCTTTTCAAGGTTACAAACGAACTTCATGCTTGACTATCTCCCAGGAAGCCTCTCGTGCCTGTTCCAGGGATTGGCGGCGAGTTGGAAAATCATCTCGGTGCTGATGTTACCCGTTGCTGGAGGACAATTACTAATGTTCCTTTCTCTTCATTCTAATTAGCAGTTTGCTTTAGGGACCATTAAGCAGCCAAACGGCAGCGGTACCTGCCGGCAGGAGCCCGCCCTGTGCTAATGGGATTATCCAGCTTTACAACATGGGTGTCCCGAGGGAAACTCAGCTCCTTGTGTGGAGCTTTCCTGGGCTGGAACAAACACCATTCCTGAGCAGGGGAACAACCCCCAGCCCGAGAGCAGGGGCAGCCTGAGCCACCTGCCAGGACCAGCAGTGAAAAGCATGAGCCTCTGGTTTAAGTATCACCCTCTGCTGTGGTGCAGGGTCCCAGCAGGGGTTGCTTGATTCTTGACCTTCATAAACGTGTGGAAAGGCTGTGGTGCATCTCTGGAACCCTTCCCACCACGAGGTTTCAATCCCTCCCCTTCACATCACCCCAAGTCTCACCTCTCAAGCTGCCCCTTCCTTCCCCAGCCTCCTCTTCCCACCCCTGTCCTGGTGCTTCAGAGCCAGTTTGTTACTGTGTTTATCTGGAGATTAATTTGCTTTAGGAGGCCGGGGAGTGAAAGAGCCCTCGAGGGGTGAGTGTTGAGGATGGGGTGTCCCTGCTCACCCCCCTGTCCCTACCTTCTGTGGTGAGGCTGTCGAGGAAGAGAGAGGACGTGGAGGGGGTGACACCTTCATCCAGGGGAGAGAAGGAGCTGTCAGGAGGTGCTGAGTAGTGGTCACCTTCTGCTAAATCCTCGCAGGTCTTCTCATCTGACTGGAGAGAAAACAAAGAGCAGCTACTTTTCCTTGCTCTCCCTCCAGCAGGAGTGCCCAGGAGCCCGTGGGGAGCCCTTGGGCTTCTAACACTGGAGTGGAAGCAGGGAACGTGGTCCAGAAGTTCCAGGTGAAATATGGGGGAGGGGGTGACCTGGAGGTTGGAGAAGAGGAGAAAAAGTTTGGGAACCACTTAAGTAGGACAAATGACAATGATCTGGCAAGGTCCTACAGTCTGACCCTCTTGTATCACTGAATGACCTCACACAGGTCCTGTGACCTCCTTGTCCCTCACTCAGGGAACTGAGCTGAATTTTCATTGGGGGGAAAAAAACACAACAAAACCAGAACCAAAAACCAATAAAAAAAAAACAAAACCCAAAGCAGAAACAGATGTTTCCTTAGAGCTGATCTTTCCAAGACAAAGAAACTAGTTCATCCAATGTGGAGATAATTGTGCTAACAAGGGGGGAAAAAAAATAAAAAAAATAAAAATCACAAGGGCTAATTTCTTCATGCCTGAGAGTGAGTAAGAGTCACGCTGCAGGAGGGGGAGAGAAAAATATCCCAGTGCACTCCAACTGCACCATTTGGTGGCTGCCAGAGGCCTCTGCACCTTCACTGAACATCCAGCACCCACAGGCACAGAAACAAGACACAGCAGGATGAGTCCTGGGTGACAGGGACCATCTTGTAGCTGCTCCAACAGAGAAATCTTCTGGGAAGTGGATCCGTGGTCCTGCTGGGACAGGAGGGGTAACTGCAGGGACACTGGGGCTGTTCCTGAGCAGCAGGGGCCAAGTGGAGCTGAGTGTGGATCTTCTGAGCTGGGATGTGGCCACTGGGGTGGGTTTTTCCTGGAGTTCAGCAGTGTTCCTAGCAGGAGGGGTGATGCTCCTCTCAGCCTCACCTTCTGGCCACAGCCATAGGACAACCACTCCTCCCGGTACCGGTCAAAGCCACTGGAGCATCTGGGGAGGAAAAGAGGGTGAAGCTGGGGCAGGAGAACTCCTGGGACACAGCAGCTCATTCCCTGCTGCTGGGTGACATTGCTCAGGATTTCTAAGCTGCCCAGGAGTCCCCAGTGCTGCCCCCATGGGCCCTGCCTACAGATACTGGGTCAAAAAAATATCTGAGGGCTGGAAAGATGATGTACAAGTTGGTGTCCAGAGAGATGGGGCTTCCAGTGCAGCTGTGCTGGACCCAAACCTTCCTCTTCAGAGAGGAGGAAAAGGGTCAACACTGTTTCTCCAAGGGAAACAGAGAAGCAGAGAAATAGGAAAAAGATACAGGCTGAGGCTGAATTTCCAGTCCCTGGACTCTGTGCCAGGGCAAGGCCATGATCTCCACAAGGGTGTGTTGTTTGGGTTTTGGATTTTGTTGGTTGTTTTTTTTTTCCCAGCAACATCTGCACAGGAAAAACACATTCAAGAAATTATAAACAGCATCAGGAAAACACCAGCAAGAGAAACCCCTCCAGAAACAGAGGGAATGAAGCAGCACTCTGGCCTTTGGGAAGTCTCTGGGGACACCATCAGCTGAATCAGGGGTTCAGCTCACACTCCTATTTACCCAACTCCCAACCAATAAAAGAGGAGAAGCCCAAAAGAACTTCAGGTCCTGCTGAGTCACTGAGATCTTTGCTTCAAGCACCATTTCTGTAGCACTTCCAAGGCCAAAACAACCTCCCCAGCCCAGCAGGGAGCTGAGATGACTCGGGGGGTCAATCACAGAGCTGGACTCAGGACCTAAGTTCATGCCAACCTCCTTGGGAAGGGTCACGTTGGTTTAGCAGCACCAACCTGCTCAAAACCAAGGAGATGGTGGCAGCTCCAGCCTGTGCTTCCCATCCCACTTCCCAAGGGTGATTCCTCTTTGCATCCCTGGGGCTCCTGGGGACCCAGCTGCCCCCACAGGGACAGCCACAGGAACGGGGCTTTAGCCAACACAGCAACAGGTCCCTGTGCAACAGCAGCAGCAGCAACTGCCTTTGGAATCTCAGGTTTGCAGAGACGGGGAATTTGGGACAAGCAGAGTGACAAAGCTCTTGAGCCCTGGGGGTTCAGCTCCAACAGGATCCACATTAAGCCACTGAACCCCAGCCCTGGGTTTGCTACCAAAGCCACATCTGGTTTCATGTAGCCCTTCCAGCTAGGAGAGCATGATCTGCTCTGATCTGCAGCCACCCCTGAGCAGCTGGCAGTGGAAAATGAAGTTTCCTGGCTCAAAAATGTGTCCCAGCCCCCCTGAAAGACAACGAATCAACCTGGATTTGTAGGGTCATTGTCTCAGGATCTGTCCCTGTCCCAGCTGCCCTGCTGATCCCTGCCTGGAGCTGCTGTGTGGAAGGAGAGGGGGAAAGTCTTGAGCGTGGCCAGAGAAGGGTTAGAGAGAGTGAAGGTGCTGGGATGAGCCTTTGCAGGAAGAGCTGGGGAAGGGGGGCAGGCAGAACCTCCCTGGGAGAGCCAGGAATGTCCCCACTGTCCCCGTGCTGTGAGGATCTGTGTTACTGGGTCCCCTCCCCTGCCACGAGCTCTAGATAAATATCTCAGCAAAATCTCATTAAACTCCCTCATGCTCCTATTGCTGCTGAAGCTGAAGGAGAGTGAGGAGCAGGACTGGGCAGGGCTGGGACTGTCAGCAAAGATCCTCCCTTTACCCCCCCAAAAAAAGCAGCAAGTGCCCCCCATCCCTGGCAAGGAGAACCTGTCCCCACAGCTCTGGGGCTGAGGAGCATCCCCAGCCCTGTGTCCCACCTGCTGAGCCTGTCCCAGCCTCCCTGCCCTGCTCCCCTGTCACAGCCACAGCCCGGGCAGGAGGAGCTTCCCCCACCTTCAGTCGCACTTCTGGTCTCAACTTGTTCCACCTGCTGCATCAAAACATGAGGACCAAAACCCCCCCTGGGCTTGGGAAGTGTCTCCTTTCCGTGGCTTGTAACCAGAGACCAGGGCACAGCTCAACCGTGAGGCTGGGAGAGCAGCACCTCAACTGAGCCAAAAGCAACAAAAAAACCCAACAGCAACAAAATAATAAAACCCCAGCAACACTGACACAGGCACCAGAGCTGGAGCTGCTCTTGCTCTCCCAGATCTATAGAAACATGAGCAAGGGAAGGAAACTGGTCCCAGTTACCTCTGCAGGACGTGACACCAGCTGCAGTTGAAGGTCAGCTCTGAGGTCACACACATCTCACAGCTCTGGTGCTGGAGACAGGCTGGAAAGGAGAGAGGAGAGAGGTACCAGTGACACCCCAGCATCTGCGTGGGCACCAGGAGCAGCTGCTGCAGGTGTTGGCAGAGCCTGAGCAGCAAGAGATGAGTCCCCAGCCCAGCTCCTCCCTGCAATGGACCGGCAGGACAAGGCAGTACCTTCTAGCAGGACTGGGCTCCCAGTCCACCTGTAAACATCTTCCCAGTCTGTTCAGCTGGGAATTAAAACCCATCTGAGACTTGGGCCATTCCTCACTTACAGAGGGTGTTCTCAGGAGGAAGGCAGCAGGGCAGACACTTCCACCCTCTGTTGCTGTGTCCACACTACCTGGTCCTGCAAGAACATCTCCAGGCTGGAGAGCACGAGCTGCTTGCAAAGAACCAAGTGCTTGACACCCAGTCTAGAAAAGATGGCCAAGAGGGTTTGTCTGCAAAACCAGTCAGGGGAGTCAGCAGTTCTGCCAAGCCCTGGGGATCCCAGGCAGCACCACCAGGGATGGAGGCAGAGGACCAGAGGGTCACATCCTGCATCAGTGCACAGGACCCTGCAAGGCAGCAGCATCCCCATCCCACCTGGGGCACCTGGCACAGCTCCATCCTGACCCAGACACTCCATCACTTCATCCCCAGGCTCCCTGTGCTGCCCCTCACAGGCAAAGTCACAGCAGCTGCCACCCCAGACTCAGACCCAGACCCATCCTCCTCTGGGGGCCACCAGCCTCATCCCCTCCCCTGCCCCCCTAGAGCTCCCAGCCCCCTGCTGCGTGGGGGCAGGAGCAAACAGGGACCTCTGGAGAAGAGGCAGAGGGATAACCCAGTTTTTACCTGAATAAGGCTAAAAATGAAACCCCCAGAAGCAAAAAGTGGAGTCTAGTTCTCTCCAGCTCCGTGGGTGCTTTGCAGGCCCAGCTCTCAGCTGCCCTGGCTGCTGGGGAAACAAACCAGGGTGGGGGAAAAACTAAGCTTGCAGACTGGTTATTTATGCTCAGCTCTGCAGTAACTCTGCCTGCTGTCAGCCCTGTCCTAAAATACCCCGGAGAGACCATTCCACTGCATAACCTTGGTATTTTCGTGGCAGATTTACTCCCTGCTCTGTATTTACAGGCCACACAGCAGCTCCCCTGGCACACGTGTCTCCCTGGATCCCAACACTGAAAATGTCCCTGTTGAACACAAACATTATTGGTGTGTGGAGGGGCAGGAACTGCCTTGTAGACAGACCTGGAGTGAACCTGTGTCCAGCAAAATGAGCTGCAGCTCGTGGAGCAGAGAGAAGGGATTTCAGTGACTGGAGAGGTGGGAAGGGCTGTCAGTGTTGGAAATAAGGACTCAAAGTACTGGGATGAGAGGGGATGTACTGGGGAGCAATGAGAACCATCAACCTGCTCCCAGGGGCATTGGGACCATTTCCCTTCTCACTTACTTGGAGGGTGCTGATCAAATCTGGTGAGGTGCCACTGCCTTTATCAGCTTCTCCCATGTGAGCTGGGCTTTGCTGTGGCCCAGGCTCCTGTCCCAGCCACAGCTGGCACACACTGGGACCTGCTGCCTGGGGCAGTGGAGGAGCCACCACCCCTGGGGGTGCTCAGAAATCACGCTGGGGAGGCGGTTTGGTGGGTGCGGTGACGTTGGGTTGGTGGTTGGGCTTGATGATCTTCAGGGCCTTTTCCAACCTTATGGATTCTACGAGGGGAAACACACCCTGGGGCACCACACCAGCTTGTCTGACTTACTGGGCAGGGGGGTGAACTCCACAGCTGACATGTTGGTGATCTTGCTGGTGTCCAGCTCCACGCGGTGATACTCGTAGATGGTCCGACGGCGCGACTCTGGAACGGGGAACCCGGGCTGGACACGGGGCACAGACCCCCCCTGCCCACCCTGCCCCATCCCAGCCTGTGTGGGGAAAGCCTGGGGGGCTGCTGCAGCCTTCCAGCTGGAAGGAAAAGGTGGTCCCAGCTTTTGGGGGTCATTCCTGTGGGAGGGGACGGTGTACGGAGCTGCCAGGCTGGGGGAGAAGGTGCTGGGAGGGCAGGAGGGATGTCAGGGCCTGGGTCACCTCTTCCATGGTTTGTCAGGAGGAGCCTGGAGTTCTGTCCCCTCTCCCTGACCAGAGGCTCCAGAGATGGCCACGCTCCAGCCCTGCATCCCTCTCAACACACACGGAGCTGCACAACACGTTCCTGGGCTGTGACCCACAGGGCTGCAGCCTCCCCCGGAGCTCCTGCTCTGCAGCTGCCTCCCCAAAACCTCCTCCTTCCCCCCAAAACCTCCTCCTTCCCCCCAGAAACCTCCTCCTTGCCCCCAAAACTTCCTCCTTCTCCATCCCTCATGCCTTGTCCCCCTTCCTCCTCTTTTCCCTTCCTCCCAGAGACCAGACGGGTCTAGCCTGAATTCAGGCTTCTCCCAGATTTTCTCCCAGCCTCTGCTGTCAGTTGAGGTGGTGACACCAGCCAAGATGCCTCCCTGGCTTGGTGCACTCTGTGAAGATCCTCAGGCCTGTCCTGCCAGCAGGGCTGCAGCTCCTCACTGCTCTGCTCCACACTGGGAGCCCCATGGATGAGCAGGATGGAGCTCCCTCCCCTCCCACCTCCTCCTCTCCTGCCCCTCAAGCCTTTGTTTCTTCACCTCATTAGTTATTTTCCTGCCCAATTCTTGCATTTCTTCTCCCCCTACTTCCCCTTCCCCCAGTGGGGCAGGCAGGGGGGCTCAGCAAGCCCATGGGGATGGGGGAGGCACCAGCCTGGGGGAGGGTTTTACACAACCTGGGGTACAGGGGTGATGAGGGAGGCCCAGGTGGCAGCTCCAGAAATAACAGGGAACAGCAGCAGCCCCGAGTGGAGGCAGGGGCAAGGTTGGGCTCCTTGTGACAAGAGGGGACAGGAGAAGCTGGAAGAGCCTTTTTGGGGGGCTCACCCCATACCTGCAGCTTATGGCACCCCTGGAATGAGCGTGTGGACATGTATGTGGCCATCCCCTTGTCCTGCCCTCACGTGCAGATCCCAGCAGCCCCAGTGCTGTGCTCCCCAGGACAGCCCTCAGCAGCCCCCCCTGGACCCCCACACCTGCAGGAAGGGGACACCCAGCCCCCCCACCCCCCCTCCTCCCTCTGCAGTCTCCTTTGCAGCCCTTCCTCCCCTCCTCCTCATCAGCTGGAGAGCAGGGCAGCACCACCTTGGCAGGTGGCAGGGATGCTGAGCAGGCTGGGTGAGAAGCCTTTCCCCCTGCAGCACCTCACCAGAGCAGACAGTGTCCCTGGGCTGGGGACACCCCAAGCACGGGGCCATGGAGAGATGCACCCCAAGAGAGACACACCAGGGGACGTGGGACACGAGGGACATCTGTGCAGCTGGGCCCCCACACTCTCCACCATGAAGCCAAGCTCTGCAGCCCCATGTCCTGCAGTGCCCAAGGACCAGGACTTCCCATCTCTCCTTCTCCCAGCTGTGATCCCAGGGCAGCCTTGGCATCCCTGCAGGATTGGGATCAGCTGCTCCCCTGCCCCAGCAGCCCCCTCCCCAGTTCCCCCAGTGCAGCCACTCACCAGGCACGTCGGGAGCTGGGTTGAGGACCATGAAGGCATCAGAAAGCCCAGCCTTGACAGGGTGCTGGGTGGCACTGATCTGCAGGACTGGCACTGGGATCTGCAGCAGGGAGAGAGGCAGAGATGGAGCCCAGCCCTGCCCCGGGCTCCTGCTGCCACTGCAGGGGTCTCCAGTGCTTTAGGGAATGCCCAGACCCAGTGTGTGAACAGTTTTACCACCACAGCTCCCACCAGACCCTCAGGGATCCCCCACAGGGACCCTCCTTCCCCAGCAGAACCTTCTCTCACCTCCTTGTACCCGAAGACGATTCTCCCGCTGCTGTGCAGGGCGGCCTGGAAGGTGAAGCTGCCCATGTCCTCCTTCCCCTGCAGATAGACCTTGTCCCACTGCACCACAAACACTGTCCCTGGGGGACAGACCAGAGCAAATCACTCATCTCTCCTCACTCCACATCTCAACAGCCCGGCCTGTCTTCTTCTGTCATTGAAGCTCCAAGTCACCTCCTGCCCCAACCTCCAGCACTTGGCTCTGAGCAGACCCACAAACAGCCCCTCCTGCCCCCTCCCCAGCCCCAAACAGCC